AACAGACTTCTTTCTGTTTCTGTGCATTTGACTCCTCTTGATACCTCATATAAGTGGAATCGTGTATGTGTGTGTGTGTGTGTGTGCGTGTGAGGGTGTATGTGTGTGTGTAACTACCTTATTTCACTTAGCATAATAGCCTCTAGGTTTACCCATGTTTAAGCATGTGTCAGAATATCCTTCCTTTTTTAAGGCTGAATGATGTTCCATTATACTCCACATTTTTATCTGTTCACCATCGACGGACACTTGGACACTTCCACCTCTTGGTGTTTTGTGAATAATGCTGCTATGAACATGGGTGTAAACATCTATCAGCTTAACCATTATTATTTTGGAGCCTCTACTATAGAAGCTAAGTCTGTATCCTAACTAGGTAGCTTTTACACTTTAAAAAAAATGTAATTCACAGTTGCAAAGGCATTTTGCATTATGACTCAAGTATACATAAATATATACACATATATATATATATATATAGAGAGAGAGAGAGAGAGAGGGAGGGAGAAAAAGAGAGAGAGAGAGTTGCATGAACAAACTTACCAATATTGGCTGCCTTCTGCATGCCCCACACCAGGGATCGAGCCCACAACCCAAGCATGTACCCTGATTGGGGATTGAACCAGCAGCTTTCGGTGCATGGAACAATGCCCCACCAACTGAGCCCCACCAGACAGATCCCCAACCCTAGTTGGGGAACATAAGGGAGGCAACCAATCAATGTGTCTCTCACATTGATGTTTCTCTCTCTCTGTTTCTCCCTTTCCACTCTCTCTAAAAATCAATGGAAAAATCCTTCAGGTGAGGATTAACCAAAAAAAAAAAAAAGAGGTCTTGATCCACTAAATAAATTTTATATCCCTTTAATAAACTGTTACCGAGAGTTTAAAAAATTGTATCATAACAAACCTGATCTCTCATGTGCTCAAACTATTCTGGGACCTGGAGAAAGAAAACTGATTATAACAGTCACTGTCACTGAATGGACTACAGTTTGTGGGGAAGATGTACAAATAATAAGCAATAGCACAGTTACGGAGGGGCATCAGGTCATCGCTAGAGAAAGAGAATGCTACTAATTTTCTAGAGGATTGGAAAACGTGAAGGTGGTGTTGAACAGATTCTTCAAGCAGAGCTAGTTGTTTGCCAAGTAGAAAAATTAGGAAAATACATTCTTGTAGAAGGAAGAACAGGTGCAATGGCACAGTCACAAATAATGACAATGCAAAGAAAATGACAGGTAATTTAATGAGGACCCCATGCAGGGTGGGTGAGTTGAGGCTGGACAGGAAGTAAGAGGCACAGGAGAGGGAATGATATATCAAAGTAAGAAGTTTAAACATTTTCTATAGAGCAATGCAAGACAACCTAAAAGGAGAGAAGGTTAGGAACAGGTCATTTTACCCCCTCCGTCCTTCCTTCCTTCCTTCCTTCCTTCCTTCCTTCCTTCCTTCCTTCCTTCCTTCCAATGGCTTCCTCCATCCTTCCTTCCTTGCTGCCTATCTCCCGCGCGACCTCCCTTCCTCCCTTCCTCCCTTCCTCCCTTCCTTCCTTCCTGTGTTGTCTGACATCTAACTTCCCCTAAGACCAGATTTCTTGTGAGAATGTAACTTTCCTGGAACTCACCACAATGTCAATTAACTTCACTGTTTTTCCCAGTAGAGTTTCCTGAGGGCAGGGACTCTTACTATATTTGTATGACGTGGCTCCATTACAGTCACGACAGAAAACATGAAGAACGTGCCTGTTCTCAAGTCCACATGGCCTGGTGACTGTCCTGCCTACCTTTCCTCTCCGCCATGCTATCTTCCGCTCCCTACTTTGGGGCAGTGTGTCCAGGAGGCATTGCTGTGTCCTGGCCCAGGCTAGCTCACCTTGGATTTCTGGGTTGAGGGCCATGTAAAGCAGACCCCAGCGCAGCGTCGTCGAAGTTGTCTCGGTTCCAGCAAAGAAGAGGTCCAGGGTACTGAAGATGAGGTTTTCCTCATTGAAACTGGAAGCATCATCACCCTTATGCTAGAAAGCACCATGTTTGTTAGTTTATTTAGGGTTCTTGGTGGCCACAGTGCATAGGGACTTCATCCTGGGGAGAAAGGTGGGAGGAAAGAGCCGTAGAGAAAGGCTCTGCCTTCGGTCTCCTTGGGAGGCAGTCTTATCACAGCAATATTGTTAGCATAGTCCTACCCCAAGGGCTGGAAATGTTTCTTAGTTTGGGTGAATGAAAATCAAGACAATGATTTTTTATGCCTATAATTTGGGAGAAGCTGTTAGTACAGTGGAGAGTCAGACTTGGGTTCAAATATTAGCCACCCCATTCACTATTTATATGACAAAGGGCAAGTTACTTATCCTCCCTGCTTCAGTTTCCCATCTTATATAATAGAAATAACAAAACACACCAATGAAGATAACATTATGAATCATGTGATAGGCAAAGGGCACACGGCAAATACTCAACAAATGTTTATACTGGTACTAGAAACAATAAACTGAACTTGTCTATGTGCAACAAGTCGTATATCTCTCAGTTAATCTTTTCCTTCCATATGAAAACTCTGATTCTAAAAATCATTCTTCATGGCATTTCATCGTTTTTACCACCTTCTTCTGAGAGCTTTAATTTCTCAACATTCCTCATGTACTTAATGTGTGGTCCCATATAGTACATGAAGTTTCCTCCTCTGAGTAGAAATCAATATTTCTATTAATATAATGCCAATACAGTGAAATAAGAGAGGGGATGGGAAAGAAATTCATCACTCTGCCAACTTCCACAGGAAGAAGTGGAATAATAAAAAATGATAATGTGATAATAAAAAATGAGCCCTAACTGGTTTGGCTAGATGGATAGAGCATTGGCCTGCAGACTGAAGGGTCCCAGGTTCGATTCCAGTCAAGAGCATGTACCGTGGTAGTGGGCACATCCCCAGTAGGGGGTGTGAAGGAGGTAGCTGATCGATATTTCTCTCTCATTGATGTTTCTAACTCTCTATCCCTCTCCCTTCCTCTCTG